CTTTGAAATAAAAATTTCCCATGCCTTTATACATGCATAATGGAGTTCTCTATGTAATTGCTTCTGACAGCTTTCTAAGCCATTTATTGCATTGTGCAGATTAAAATTATAGCTTTAAATAATACATCTGTAGCAAGTGATCCAGAGAACAATCTTATTGTGTTTAATTTTTCTCTACAATTTAACATGAATCAATAAACAATGAAATTCTGGTTGCAGTCAGTCATTCAGCATCCATTCAGTTACAACAGTATTGAACAAAAGGACCTTACAACCAACAATTTGTGTAGTTACAACTGTCGCAGTATCCCCACAGTCATGTGTTTGGACATCTGGCTCGCAATTACATCATGGTTACAGTCATGTGATCACCATTTGAGACCTTTCCTGCCAGATTCCCATAAACAAAGGCAGTGGGGAAACTGGAAGGGAAAGTCATAAGTGGCTCTTGCACTTTTTGTCCCAAGAAGACCTATACTATATAAGATCCTAAAGATATTATTCCCCATGGCACTCGCCTGTGCACTGTAGTGGCCCCTGTCAGCTTGCTGACATTCAGTAGTGCCCAGCTGCAGCTTTCACCCACCCACAAACAGCACTTGTCCATTGCCCTCCTTACTCTGATCACACGCAGACACCGGATTTTCAGGATTGCTGTTGCTAAGCCATATGAATCGTATGACATTACATTTTATGACCATATCATTAGAGACAGAAATTCCAGTCCCAGTTGTCATTGTAAACTTAGAACTATTTGTTGGATTTAAAAACATTCAATTTGCCAACTCCTGCAGGATAGCCCCTAGTTAAACTAACTATACTCTCGTGTAACTTATACATGAATCAGACCATTTCCTATTCAATAATCATACTAATTTTTATTCTCTTTTTGCTTTATGACTTTGTACACAATTTAGATTCATGTTTGAATTGGGTAGCTATATAAATAATTTTCTAAATATATAAATAACAGATGAGGTTGCCAATATTTTGTTCACAATTAGATTTTTTTTAACAAAAATGTGGCAATAGTAGCTTTTAATATTCTAATCATGCCAATCTATGAGCTATAGAGATTTGGTTGATTTATTATGTGCCATCAAGTCAATGCCTAGTTATTTGTGCCTAGAATGGGAACACTGGATTGATTTGTTCCATGATTTATTTGTTTGTTTTCTTGGCTGTCCATGATGTTCTCAAGACATCTTCTCCAACACTAAAGTTCAAGTGCATCAATACTCTTTCTAACCTGCTTCTTCAAATTCCGTCAGGTCCAAGTCCAAAGGCAGCACAATGAAATCCAAACAAGTCTAGATCTTTATATTTGCTTATACTTAATAGACAGAATCTTATCAGATTAAAGCTATAACTTTCTAATGTGATATATACACCTTGGGAGATTTCAGAATATGCATTCTCTTATTTTGGGCTTTTCTCTGGAATGTACTGCCTCCTCCATGTGAAACATCAGTGCTCTTGCTGGAATTCTCCTTCTCCGAGTGCACATTCCATCATAAATTCCAACTTTTCCTTCCATAAAGTGTCACAGGAAACACCATTGTACGAGTCTGATTTTTGTATATATAATGGATTTTCATATTTTTTCCCAAAGGCTTCATCTCTGTCCCCAAGGTGCAAATCTGCATCATCGTCATCGTTGTCATCATCATCATCATCATCATTATCACCATCATCATCAAGTTGGAAAGGAGCTTGGAGGTCATTAATCCAACCCCTGCTCAGGCAGGAAACCCTATACCATTTCAGACAAATGGCTGTCCAGTCTCTTCTTAAAAATTTCCAGGTTTGGAGCATTCACAGCTTCTGGAGGCAGGTTGTTCCACTGGTTAATTGTTCTCACTGTCAGAAAATTTCTCCTTAGTTCTAGATTGCTTCTCTCTTTGATTAATTTCCATCCATTGGTTCTTGTCCTACCTTCAGGTGCTTTGGAGAATAGCTTGACTCCCTCTTCTTTGTGGCAGCCCCTGAGATAATGGAACACTGCTATAATGTCCCCCCTCGTCCTTCTCTTTGTTAAACTAGACATACCCAATTCCAGCAACCATTCTTTATATGCCTCCAGTCCCCTGATCATCTTTGTTGCTCTTCTCTGTACTCTTTCTAGAGCAGTGGTTCTCAACCTTTCTAATGCCGTGACCTCATAATACAGTTCCCCATGTTGTGGTGACCCTCAACCACTTATACATCACCGGGTGCCAGGGGTGTGGCCAAAGAAAAGGGGGGGAAAATGGCGGACAACCTTGTTTGGCGACCCCCGTGAAATGGTCGTTCGACCCCAAATGGGGTCCCAACCCACAGGTTGAGAACCACTGTTCTAGAGTCTCAACATCTTTTTTACATTGTGGTGACCAAAACTGGTTGCAGTATTCCAAATGTAGCCTTACCAAGGCATTGTAAAGTGGTATTAACACTTCATGTGACTTGATTCTATTCGTCTGTTAATGCAGCCTAGCACTGTGTTGCCTTTTTTGGCAGCTATAGCCCACTGCTGGCTCATATTTAGGTGATTGTCCACTAGGACTTCGAGATCCCTCTCACATTTGCTACTATTGAGCAAGGTGCCACCTATACTGTACCTGAGCATTTGGTTTTTCTTGCCTAAATGTAGAAACTTGCTTTTTTCACCATTGAATTTCATTTTGTTAGATAGTGTCCAATGTTCAAGCTATCAAGAACCTTCTGTATCTTAAGCCTATCTTCTGGAGTGTTGGCTCCCTTATTGTTGATAATTAATCTAAAAAAGGCAGAAATTATCCACTGTTTCTTTCATTGCCTATTCTGAGGCTGGTTGCTCTGCCTGTGTCACTTTATTTTATCCTACTTGATTATTCCACTGCGTTCATTGACTTTCATTATTAAAACTTGCAGATCATTTACATTTTCAACTATTATAGAGTAATGTCATCAGCATATCACAGTTACCGATGTTTCTTCTTCCTGTTTTAAAACCACAATAATATATTTTCAATTGAGCCTCATTCAATATATAATCTACATATAGATTGAATAAATAGAGACCATAGAACCTTTGCCAACTTATAGCCAATGTGTTTGTTAAGTAGAATAACAAAATCTTGAAAGTCTGTATATATTTGTCTCTGTTCCATCGTATATCAAACAAAATCAAAGCAGGATTATTTTGAGTACCTTTCTCAGGCTTCCCTTTTCTCAGAACTCTATAATCTTTTCCCCTTAACTATTTGTTTATTCCTTCACTATACAAAAAGTCAACTCTCATTTTCTTTACATCATGCATCACATATGTACATTATTTTTAGTACTCTTGGCTTTCTTAATTATCAAGCAACTGGATTGTACTTATGACAGTGGGGAGAGGAGAGAGTAATGAAAACCTGTGTATCATTGAGAAACATAAAGCTTTAATGAGCTGAATTATGTGCAAACATCAGAGAAGAAGCCATTTTATATTGGAAAGCAAAGAGAAAATTGGAGTCGTTACTTAAACCTCTTCACTATTACATTCATCTTCCACAATAGCATAGTGGAAAACTTGAGTCCCTTTCATTAAAATAATTGTAGTAATTGAATATGCTTTCATAGATTTATGAATGAATGAATGAATATGAATAAAAATTATATGATGGCCCAACTCCCTTTCAGTGACTCTGGGCAGCTTACATGAATAAAAATCCAATAAAAAGACAATAAAAAGCAAATATCCCCTATCCCCTTGGTGACTTACGTTTCTGTCATTGCTAAGGATCCATTGCAGACCAATCTAGGTTTAATCTGTCACCAAACCCAACCTCAATAGGGTAAGGATTGTTCCCACTTCCCCACCCCACCTATCTATCCTTCCCCCTCCCCCCAGGTTCTTTGCAAAGGGATGTTTTGGTGTGTTGTCAGTGCCTTATTTTTCCTTGTTTATTTTCTTTTTTGCAGTACGGAGCCAGTCCCAGCCCAGCCCACAAGTATGGTGCACTGCAACTCAGGGGCTACTTTGTCCTTTTCCTTTTTGCAGCAGCCCAGCTAGGCAATGCCTTGTCAGCAGTGGGAACAACAGGATAGGAAGATCCTCTGGAGAAGCAGAGCTCAGGAGCCCAAAAGAACATAGATGGGAAGGGGGGTGAAGATATGTGGGAGTTGCAGCATCCCTGTGGTTATAAGTGCATGTGGGCTGCCAAGCACCTGAATTTTGATCACAGGACTGCAGGGATCCTACAGCAGCCAAAATTTCAGGTAAAGCTTGTAAATCCCTTTGTTTAATCAAAAATTTTGCAAATGATATTATTACTGGGAGATGCAGTGCTAGAATATTTGGGGGTTCGATGCTGAAGAATAGGCAAATGCTCAGTTTCTAGAAAAACTTATCATGCTCAGTCTTCTTTTTCTTGAGAGAAATGTGTTATATTCAGAATACAAAATGTCATGTAAGACAAGGCCAGAACAAAAAGAGGAACAAGCAAAGTATAACCCCAATTTTATGCAGATAAGATCTCTTTTCTGTCTACTATGCATAGAAAGAGGACAACTGGAGTTCAACTATGAACATTTTATAGACTTTTAAGTAAACTTTTTCCAACCTATCTTTTCCAAAAGTATTGGACAAAACACGTGGCCTTTTTTTGTTTGTAGTGTCTTTGGTTTGCTTGCACAAAAAACAGTAATAGAGAATTGGTCACATGCATCAGATGATTGGAAAATGTTTCTCCTTTCTTAGAAACTGTTGACATTTGATCATTTGCCTTGCTAGCTTTTGCTGCCAAATGGTACAAAGTACTTTTTTCCATGAATTATTTTGCCCAACTTCTATTGGAAAGACAGATTTATAAGTGATTTTATGTCATGCTCTGCTTTCTGTTCTTTATTTTCAAAGTTATATATAAAAGTATCAAAACTTTCCTCTCAAAAAAGGATATGAAATACTGTTGTAGTAGATCTTGCTTTCAAAAATCACACAAAAGGGCCCTGGAAAAAATGTTTGACTTTGTCATCATTACAGATTTGGTACAGATGAGCTGAAGTAAGAACAATAGCTCCAACAATAGCTGGAGATATTGTGGCTTGCGGCAGGTTCAGATGTTGCAAGTAAGTATAAATCATCCATATAAAATTTGTAACTCATTTACAACTGATTATTGACTATTATACAAATTTATATGGTTACTTATGTAGCATACACATTAAGAATTCTAGGTAGTGAGCAACAATAAAACCATAATACAATTAATAAATTAAAGAAGGAAGGAAGGAAGGAAGGAAGGAAGGAAGGAAGGAAGGAAGGAAGGAAGGAAGGAAGGAAGGAAGGGCAATGTTGAGGCTTCAGTTAAAAACTCATATCTATAAACCACACCCAATCATGCCAAGCTTCATTAATATCCTGCCCCATGTACATTTTGCTATTCTAAATAACTCAATAATACTTGGTGGTATCCCTTCTTCTTCCCCACACCTTTTGTTTTGTTTTGTTTTGCAATAATAACCGTACCAATAGTGGAAAATATTTGTAACTCAGGATTGAAATGAGAGGTCCTTGATGCTATCTAAGTCTATAACTCAACAACTGTGAAATAGCCAGAAGTACTGATTCAGAGTGTTAAAGAAAATGTTCTTAGTTCTCAACTGATCAACAATAATTAGAAAAAGATGCTTTGTAAAAGCCCTGTTAAAACAAATGGAGAAGAAAGAATCATTGTTATTATGATTGTCCGTGATTTAATATTGGACAGCGGGCGGACCTGGCATGTATAACCGAAACCTGGCTGGGCCCTGAGGGGGGTGTTTCCCTCTCAGAGATGTGCCCAGACGGGTTTGTGGTGCTTCATCAGCCTCGACATCAGGGCAGGGGTGGGGGAGTGGCAGTCATCGCTCGGAAGTCCTTGAGTCCTCGTGGGATTCCTGCCCTGGAGGTTGTTGGGTGTGAGTCCCTCCTATTGAAGTTGGGTTCACGGGTTCAGTTGGGCTTGCTGCTGACGTACCTATCTCCCAGCTGCGTTGCAACAGCTCTGCCTGCATTGCTGGAGTCAGTAGCCGGGTTGGCGGTGGAGTTCCCCAGACTTATGGTACTGGGGGACTTTAACCTACCATCACTTGGCGATCGCTCAGAGGCGGCGCAAGAGTTCATGGCTTCCATGGCAACCATGGACCTGACCCAGGTAATTCAGGATCCGACTCATAGGAGTGGTCACACACTCAACCTTGTGTTTCTCTCGGGGCAACGGAGACATGATCTGGAATTAAGGGGAATAGAGATCTCTCCCTTGTCATGGACAGATCATTTCCTATTGAGGCTGGACTTCAGAGCATCACTCCCCTATCGCAGGGAGAGGGAGCCAACTAGGTGGTTCTGCCCCAGGTGCCTAATGGACCCAGATCAGTTCCAGGAGGAGCTTGGGGAAATACCTGACTCCCTTGTCCACAACTCGTCCGGGTCCCTGGTTGCGGCCTGGAATGAGGCGGCGTCCGGGGCCCTGGATCGAATTGCGCCTTTGTGACCTCTCTGTAGTGGTCCCCAGAGGGCGCCTTGGTTTACTGAGGAGCTCCGGGAGATGAAGCGCCACAAGAGACGTCTAGAGCAACGTTGGAGGGCCAGTAACTCTGAATCTGACCGATCACTATTAAGAGCCTATCTTAGGACTTATTTAGTGGCGATAAGGGCGGCAAAGCGTGTTCACTTTTCCGCACTTATTGCGTCCGCAGAATCTCACCCGGCCGCCTTGTTTAGGGTGACCCACTCCCTTCTTAAAGTGGAGGAGGTGGAGGAACCCTTGCAGGGGAGAGCTGAGGAGTTTGTTCAGTTTCTTTCGGACAAAATCGCTCAGATTCAGAGAGACCTGGACTCCGACTGGGCAGTGCCAGCCGAGTTGCCGGGGGCTGGTCTTAGTCATGTTATCTGGAGCAAGTTTGAGCCTGTGACCCCTGATGAAGTGGACAAGGCCGTGAGGGCAATGAATGCCGCCACCTGTTTATTGGACCCGTGCCCCTCCTGGCTGGTTTCTGCCAGTAGGGAGGTGACACGAGGCTGGTTCCAGGTGATAATCAACGCCTCCTTGATGGAGGGGTCTTTCCCGCAACCTTTAAAGGAAGCGGTGGTGAGGCCCCTCCTCAAGAAGCCTTCCCTGGACCCAGCTGTTTTGAAGAACTTTTGTCCTGTCTCCAACCTCCCCTTTGTGGGGAAGGTTGTAGAGAAGGTGGTGGCGTCCCAACTCTTGCGATCCTTGGATGAAACTAATTATCTGGACCCTTTTCAATCTGGTTTCAGGCCCGGCTACAGCACTGAGACTGCTTTGGTCGCACTGACCGATGACCTCTGGCGAGCCCAGTATAGGGGTCATTCCTCTATCCTGGTGCTTCTTGACCTCTCAGTGGCTTTCGATACAATCGACCATGGTATCCTTCTGCGTCGTCTCGGAGAGGTGGGGGTGGGCAGCACCGTATTGCAGTGGTTCTCCTCCTACCTCTCTGACAGGTCACAGTCAGTGTTGGCGGGCGGACAGAGATCGACCCCTAGGCGCCTCGATCATGGGGTGCCTCAGGACTCGGTCCTGTCCCCCCTCCTTTTAACATCTACATGAAACCGCTGGGTGAGATCATTCGGCGACACAGGGTGAGGTATGATCAGTATGCGGATGATACCCAATTATATATCTCCACCCCATGTCCTTTCAGTGAAGCAGTCGACGTGATGTGCCAGTGCCTGGAAGATGTGAGGGTCTGGATGGGGGTGAACAGGCTTAGACTCAACCCTGACAAGACCGAGTGGCTCTGGGTCTTGCCTCCCAAAGGTCAACTGGATGGTCCATCATTAGTCCTGGGGGGGGGGCAAATTTACCTCCCTCAGTGCAGGCACGCAACTTGGGTGTCCTCCTGGACTCACAGCTAAATTTGGAACAACATCTATCGGCTGTGGCCAGGGGGACCTTTGCCCAGGTTCGCCTGGTGCACCAGTTGCGGCCTTATTTGGACCGGGAGGCTTTGCTCATGATCACTCATGCCCTTGTCACCTCAAGACTGGATTACTGTAATGCGCTCTACATGGGGCTACCCTTGAAGAGTGTTCGGAGGCTGCAGTTGGTTCAGAATGCAGCCGCGAGAGCGATTGTGGGCGCGCCAACGTACGCCCACGTGTCACCTATCCTCCGCGAGCTGCACTGGCTTCCTGTGGGTCTCCGGATGCAATTCAAGGTGTTGGTTATCACCTTTAAAGCCCTTCATGGCATAGGGCCAGATTACTTACAGGACCGCATACTGCCGCACAGTTCCCAGAGACCGGTGAGGTCCCATAGATTGGGCCTCCTTCAGGTCCCGTTGGCCAGACAATGTCAGCTGGCAGGCCCTCGGGGAAGGGCCTTTTCTGTGGTGGCTCCGACCTGGTGGAATCAACTTCCCCCCGAGGTTCGAACTACTCCCACCCTGCCGGCCTTTAAGAAAGCCGTTAAAACTCTCCTGTTCCGGCAGGCCTGGGGCTGATGTCCCTGGGGGGGGGGGCAGGGTATGATTGGACACGTGGTATGATTGTATTATTTTATTGTTTTATTGTTAGATGATTGTTTTAATTTTGTACGCCGCCCTGAGTCCTTTGGGATTGGGCGGCATATAAATAAAATTAAATAAATAAATAAATAAATTACAGCTTGATTGAATTTGTGAGCTGTAATTAATTTTTCTCCTATGGACTCCTTGGTGTCTCTGAGTTTACAGATGTTTTGTCATTAGACAAATTCACATGGACCATTCATTAAAGTTGTATCTAGTCTTGTAGCAAAACGTCTGTGAGCAAATAACCAAGCTCAGAGAGCACCAAGTACTTCATAGTTCAATCCTGGGCTACAGATATTCTCTTCTATTGGAATTCTTCTCTTTTCTACCAGCTTAAATAAATAGGAATATTAAAATATGCTATTAAAATATTTTAATAAGGCCAAGTTTATTTTCTCTTCTTGTATATATTTTATCTTAATAATCTATAGGGTTTATCATTTCTACCTTGACAACTATTCAAATCAAACAATTAAGACAACACTTTCCCATCTTTTTTATGGACCACAGTTCCCTTAAATATTTATAGAGCTTCAGAACTAATGCTTCTGTTTCTTTGTGAAGCAGTGAAAATCTAAAGTGGCTCAAATGTAATGTTGATTATTGTCTGCACAAAGTACAATATTTAGTGAATGGAAATAGGGTAATAGGGACAAAGAAGGCGTGGGATTGGATTAAAGGGTTCAAAGGAAGTCGGGGCAGACAAAAGAGCCACTAAATTGAATTGACCAATTGCCATGAATTGGTATCAGGTAATTTAAAAAAAAACACTAAAACCCATGTATTAAAAACTTTTTTTTACATTAAAAGAAGTGGAAATGCTTCTCTGGAAAACTCCTATGTATAAGGTGGGGGGAAGGAATATTAGTAGCAACTCCACTTGTATGTGTTTGTGTGGGAGAGAGAGAGAGAGAGAGGGAGAGAGAGAGAGAGAGAGAAAGAAAAAAAGAAAGAAAGAAAGAAAGAAAGAAAGAAAGAAAGAAAGAAAGAAAGAAAGAAAGAAAGAAAGAAAGAAACATACATTACTGCAGGTAGTTCTCAACTTATAACCAGATTTAGCCCAAAATTTCTGTTTCTAAGGGAGACAGTTGTTAAATGATTTTTGCCCCATTTTACGATCCTTGCCACAGTTGCTAAGTGAATGACTGCAATTGTTAAGTTAATAACATGGATGTTAAGTCAATCTGGCTTCCCCACTGACTTTGCTTCTCAGGTGGTCACCCATAGGACCATGGTGGCGAACCTATGGCACACGTGCCATAGGTGGCATGCACAGTCCTCCCGGCTTGTTCTGCGGCCTCATGGCAGCCGCATTGGGTACAACGTGCGAGGCAGTAAAGAGCCCCGTCGCACCGAAACTGAGGGGCTGGCAGGCTGTGACTGCTGATGGACACAGTTGGCCCCCATGCGCTCACTATGTGCGGAGGCCAATGGTGTCAGGCAGTTGCCGCCCCGGCCCCTGCCTTGCCTTGCCTTGCCCTGCAGCAATGGCACCCCTGCCCTGCCCCCTGCCTCACTTCACCTCACCCTGTAAGATAAGCTTTCTGCCCACAGCCCCACCCACCAGAGACCCCTGGATCTCTCCCAACCCTGCCTGGCCCCCATAGGCGTCCCTCCCCACAAGCAGCATTGAGGTGGCCACACCCATCCCGGCCATACCCACCCAGTCTGCCATGACCACTGCAGCCACGCCTACCCAATGGGCCACGCCCACCCAGCACCCGATGATATATAAGTGGGTTTGGGGTTGCAGTTTGGGCACTCAGTCTCTAAAAGGTTCGCCATCGCTGCTATGGGGGAATCACACACACACACACACACACACACACACACACACACACACTGCAATCATCATAAATATGAATCAATTGCCAAGCATTCCAATTCTGATCATGTAACTATGGGGGTATTGCAATGGTTGTAAGTGTGAAAAATGGTCATAAATCCCTTTTTTCTGTGCCTCTGTAACTTCGAACAATCATTAAATGAACTGTTGTAAGTCAAGGACTACCCATGAATGTTTCTTCTGCTATAGACAGAAATTAATAGGTATTTTTTATTGTTGTTTTACAATTTTTAGAGAACAAAGTTCTTTCACCTTTTACTCTAAGATTTTAATGTGACCCTTCTTTTTATAATCCTGTCTAATTATTAAACCGATAAACTGTAAGTTCATCTTTTTCTATTTCATGCAAAAAAAAAAAAATATAAGGAGTTTCCAATTAGCAATGGGTATAGTCAAGTGATTCAGAAGAGTATAAAAGTTTTAGTAAATCAAAGAATACTAGACTCTTTATTTTTATTTATATATCAGTATATTTACTGAATTAACTAAAAATTCAGCCTAGTTTGAAGTTGGGACACTGTAGAGGAATCAGGTTCATTTAAAGGTTAAATCCTTAATTTCCAATGTATATAAAATAAATTGGTAGGTACTTGTTATGACAGCAATTGAAATTGGGGGTGTTATATGAGTGTTGCTGTCATAAAGCATGCCATCATATATTTCATTGCTTAGTGACAACAATCCCAGCATTCCTGGTTGCTGTCAGCTAGGGCAGGGCTTTTCAACCTCCTGGCACTGATCCTGGTGCTTCCATGAGCCCTGACAGCCCTGAAGCACCGATCAGCTGGAAAGAGGCACTGATCTTGGCGCTTCCGCTGAGCCCTGACAGCCCTGCAGCTCCAGCCATCTCTCGCTCAGGCTTGTGTGGTGCTGCCACCGGTTCAGCTCATTTCCCTCCCCCGCTACCACTTTAATAGGATGGTTGCGTGCCACCTGCCAGGTGCCAATGTACCATAGGTGGTACCCGTACCACTGGTTGAAAAGCCCTGAGCTAGAGTACATGGATTATTAATTGGGAAGTGGCAGGAGTCACAAGAAGTGCCAGGAGGCTGCTGCAGGAAAATGTGGGATGCAGGATCATAAGGGAGGCCCTGAGAAGCCTGTGGCAGGGTGTGTGCAGGAAGAGGGCTTGGGAAATGAGGCACAAGCTGCACACAAATGCAACAATGCTGGGGAGTGGATGGCACAGGCAGGATGTGAGAACAGAAAGGGTAATGGGTGGGTGGCATGGAGGGAGCATGAGCACTGTGGAGGACAGTTCATTAGAGCAACCTATGATCTTCCCTGCTAGCTTCCACTTTGACTTTGCTTGTGGGAATATTGTAAACGGTAATCACATGATCACTGGATGCTGCAACTTTCCAAGTGCCAGTTATCAAGTGCCAGTCAGTTGCTAAATGCTTGTCAGCAGGGAAGACTGCAAATTGCAATAACATGACCATAGAATAAAGCAGCTTCATAAATGGAGCCAATTGCCAAGTACTCAAATCACAATCACAGGGCCATTAGGGCACTATGACAAGTGAAATTTCAAAGACCGGTCATAAGGATTACTCATTTAGCACCACCGTCACTTCATATAGTGCGGCTCTTCACATTCCTTACTATTTTTTTTGTCTCTTGTACCTAGATATCAAGACCAAAGCTGTAAGAAAAGGTAAGGTGACCAACTGTCCTCCTTTAGGGAGGACAGTCCTCCTTTTGTGAGTTCTGTCCTCCCTTGAAAAGTGTTCTCCTACATGTCCTCCTTTTCGATATTTGAAGACTAATCTGCAGGGCTTTTTTTTTCTCATAGAATTCTTAGAACGGCGTTCCAGCACCTTTTTTGATGTTTTTTTTTCAACTTTTGCATGAGCTGTGCTACTCCCACTATTGGCTTTCGAAAGCCAATAGGAATTGCTGCTGAGCGTGCCAAAACACCCGGCTGGCAAACCTTGCACATGTAAGTTATCTGCAGCGAAGGTAAATTGGCAGGAACTTTTCACCCCTCCCTGCTACCCAACTGCACCATCTCCTAGTTAGTCCCGAAGATACCTGGAGGAGACTGGAGCAGCGATACAACGGTCACTTTCTCTTGATCTTCGGCCCTGTGGGAGCCGCGGGGCCTGCTCTACACGGGATTGCACAGGGTGGGGGGTGGTGCTGGCAGGGCGGCTGCAGACAAGGTGTGTCGAGCCACGGGGCCTGCTCTACATGGGGTTGCACAGGGTGGGGGGTGGTGCTGGCAGGGCGGCTGCAGACAGGGTGTGTTGACGGCGGGCGAGGCCAGAGCGGGTGCAGCTGGTGCTTTGGGAGCTGCAGGGCCCGCTCTACACGGCGGGGCAGCAGTGCTGGCGGGGCAGCTGCAGGTGGGGGCATGGCATGTAAGCATAATTACAATATAAAAGGTTATTGTTACAAATGTTTTTATTATGCATTTATCATATTATAGTATATTCTGTATTATTGTTGCAATGAATAAAATGTTTCTTTTATTTACGATATTTTTTCTTCAATTTATTTGTGTCCTCCTTTTCATTGTAAAAAAGTTGGTCACCTTAGAAAAGGTGATGACTATGTGATAAATGGTAGCAAAATGTGGATCACTTCTGGATTTCAGGCAGACTGGATGTGCCTCTTGGCAAACACAAAGGATGGACCACCCCACAAAAACAAATCACTTCTATGCCTGCCAATGAAGCTGCCTGGTAATAAAGTTAAGATAAATTGTTCTCAGAAAAAAAACTAGTATAAAAAAGTAAAACTTAAAAATTAGAGGAGTGGAAATTCATATTTAAACCTCATAAATCATCAGGAAACATATCCCTTCCAAATGATGACAATCTTTTTGAGGCAAAATAGTGTTGGGTATGAGAATTTCAAAAATGTATATTGTGATAGCGCCTTTCTAAGACTAATACAAAATCTTCAAATAGCTATCAGGCTTTCCAAATTAAAAACAGAAATCTTAATTGAATTTTCACAGGGGGGGGGTTGTTTTTGTTTTCTTTCTTAAAAGTTGAAGCAAAGCAAATAAGTACTTAAAATTGAAAAAACCTCAACAACAATTTGATATAATTGAAAGTTATCTGCTCAAACTTATGGCATAATAGGTTTTTTTGTGTGCTATAAATTTATTGCATGACTATTTCATTGTTAATTGAGATATCAGTCATTAACAGCAGGGTCAGGAAAGAAGAAGAAATTAGTAGAAACAAAATTATTTTTAGATTACCACTCCTATTTCATGCATTTTGCACAATATCTCTCATGAGTTGTAGCCTGCTGTAGGAACAGATAATTAGAAGCTGCTACTGATTATAAAATAGTACTTGTAAAAATATCAGTAGAAATATCCAAAGAAAAACGGATTAAGGCTATCACTTGCAATATTCCAAATGTCGCATCATTGATTGATATTAGGGCATTTTGAAATTATAATTTCTGTTTTCATTACATTTTTTTATTCCTAACATGCTGTTCTCTTTTTTTCTTTCATTTTGGTTGGATATTGGATTAACATCTTCATTTAACTGTTTTTTATTACTCACACATCAAGTTAATGCTAGCTCTGATCCCATTAGCTTGCATGAATAGTTAGGTTCCTTGGCACCCATGTATATCATTTTGTACTTGCGTCATGTAGAATGACAACTACATTTTAACATCCATTTTCCTAATCTGCAGAGGTCGCTATTTAGTTCTTTGCAGTTTATTATGGTTTTTATATCACTCTGAACAATTTAGTATTTTTACCAACTTCACTCTTCTACAAGTCACATTCAATTCTTTTATAAATATTTTATAAATCGTATATAAATATTTTAAAAGGCATCATTCCTAAAATAGAACCTGGCGGACCCCACAAATTATATCTTCCCTTCTAAGAAATATCCATTTACTCCTATGTATTGTTTTCTGTTATTTAACTTGATGCTTATACACAAGAGGACCTACCCTTTTTTTCATGGTTCTTAAACTTACTGAGAAATATTTGATGAGTGTGTTATCAAAATGTTTTCTTGAAAAACCTAAGTAAATAATGTCTACTGGTTCATCCTTATCAAATTTATTAATATCCTAAAATATTCATATAGATTAATTAGATAGGACTTTCCTTTGTGAGCATGTTGGATATCCTTCAGCAAGGCCTATGTCTCAAGGGTGACTGTCAAGTTTTTTCACACTAAGTACACAGATGAATATCACTCAGAAATGCTATTAATAATGAAGAAATTATGAAGTCAGTTTTCCCAATATGTCTGGGGCACAGGATCTGGTGAAGGAACAAATAACAATACCATTTAAATGGGAAAGTTTTATAGCTGCTTGAAAGTCGATAAACGCACTTTGGGAAATTTCGTAAGTGCTAGTCCTCTGAATCTTGAATGTGTTATTAAATATAATATTAGGGTAGTTGTTTTTAACAGATGGGAGTTCAACTAACATAGGAAGAACAAAAGCACAATTGAGAATGTTCTCTATCCAAAAAAGAACTAATGCTAAGGTACCACTCAATCTTAATTGCACTCTCTTAGTAGTTAAAAATATAAATGAAATTTTTGGATTAGTGAAGTTACTTTAAACAATCAAAGGATTATATTATTTAAAATTGTTCTAAGACCACTGATGAGTAATTCTAAGGAAAGAAATAAGACTGAAGGTTTTTTCAAACAAATTACACTGATTAAGCTATGAATGATTTTTTTCCAATTTTCCAATATAAGGACAACAACACTTTTATTGACAATTTAAAAAAAAACAGAATTGGGCTGTAATACTGAGTCATGCTGCAAACCTGTCTGGTCTTAGTAAAGCTAGTAATTCTTATATACAGACAAGAAATTAGACAGCCATTTGTCTGAAATGCCTGAGCAGGGGGTTGGACTAGATGACCTCCAATATCCCTTCCAACTTTTATAATTATTATTATTGTTGCTGTTGTTATCTGTTAATTTTTTAAAATTAGGTTGAGCCGACACTCCCATGTTGCTGATATGGAATAGCATTCTTTATATATAAAATAGTGCATATAATCTAGGAAATACCATTAAAACCTATTATTTATCATCTTTAAGAAGAACCACCCATCTCCCTCATAGAAGGACTCTGGGCAGTATACAGTAAAATATTAAAAACATAAAAACAATACATTAAATTTAAAAGAGGCAATGAATGTTTAAAAAAAAAATTAAAAGGTGGAGGGAGGGGTTTCAGGATAGTAATCAGCTCCATGGTTGTGTGCTTCTCTGCATGCCCCAAGCAAAGCCACAAGAGCCACCTTTTTAAGCATTTATGGAAGGCCAAGAGAGTGGGTGCCCACCTCACTTCAAAGAGAGATTGTTCCACATTCCAGGAACAATGGCAGAGAAAGTTTTTCCTCCTGGACCCTGCCAGTTGGAATTTTTTGGTTGACAAAATCCATAACATACCTTCCATGTCTCATGGGTAGGATGGGCTGATATAACAGGATGAAGACAGTCCCAGAAGTAACATGGCCCTGAAGGGCTTTAAAGATCATTGCCAACACCTTGAATTGGACTCAGAAGCAAACTAATACCCAATGCAACTCATGCAACAGAGGTATTACATGCACTATTTTGGGGGTGCTTCTAGCTGCATTTTGTACCAGCTGAAGCTTCTTGATACTTTTCAAGGATAAGTCAGTGCAGTAGTCCAAACAGGAGATGACCAGGGCATGAATCTCCAGAAAGTTCCCTATCTAGGAAAAAAAGTAGCTGCACATAATACAAAGTGGAGCAAAGGCCCTCCTAGCCTGTTCTTTGAGCAGTCGCCATGAGCCTCTCACTTTCTGTCAACAGTAATTGAAACCAACCTAAGAAGAAGGAGGTGAAGCTGTACAGAACCATGCCACCCTAAGTTGGCTCAAAAGACTATTTTTATTTTATTTTTTATTATTTTTATTTATTTTATTTTCCACCTATCTTACCACAGATAACTCTGCATGGTTCACAATATTAAAATGATAAAACCTGTACACAATACCAATAAAATATTATAAAAATATAAATATATTTTATATTTTTATAAAAATATTTTATATTTATAAAAATATAAATATAAATACTCTAAACGCTATCCTAGTCAAAAGTATTGAAAACCACTGAGACGTCAAGAGGACCTCGGATGGATGCATTGCCTCCATTCCATTCCCACCATGGAGCATCCATGAAATTATCAATGCTGTTTCAGCCCCGTATCTGGGCCTGAAATTCACCAAAAGGGTCCAGATAACCTGTTTCCTCCAGGATTCAAAGGGAAGATGGAAGACTTGGTAAAAATTGCCTAAACAATAGGGTCCACCGACGGCTTCTTGAGGAGGGGACATATCAGTGTCTCTTTAAAAGGAGCTAGAAACTATTGTATGCACATCAAATAGGCAGCAAATGCATGGCCTTAAGAAATTGTGGAATGTGTTCTTGTAGTAAGAATTGATCCATGAAGTATGTCCAAAGATACTTGACAAGCAATATTCAGAGATCCCCACCTGGATTTGTTTCAAGTAAAAAATACTACCGTATTTTCCAGCGTATAAGACGACTCGGTATATAAGATGACCCCCGACTTCGGAGAAGATTTGCATGGTTAGAAAGTCGTCTTATACACCAGAAAATACGGTAAATGATCTTCACAAGCTGCAGATGATTTATTCAAATGGTCTTCTCAATATGAAATAGCTTATGTTCCTGTTAAGTAATGATCATAAGCCAAAGTGATCAAATTTTATGCAGCATCACAAAACTCTGGTCCTCAGCAATTACCTTTTTCAACTCATCCTTTTTTTTTTAAAGAAAAAAAATTAAGTTGTGACTCATAGAATGAAATTATGACCCCAGGGCTTCAGGCTGTCTACAAATAGAGAACTGGAAAATGACCAACGCACTTCAACTTTTAAGAAGGTCCCATGGGAAGATCCAGTAAGACAAAATTACCAAATATCTGAAACTCAGACCTTATTCAATAATTACAAGCTGCTTAGAAGACAATAAAATACATTGGAAGAAGTAATTCTGATAAAGGAGAATATTTGTAGCTCAAGTTTGAAATGAGGGGTCCTTGGTGCTCTCTGAGCTTGCTTGTTTTCTTTGTAGATGTTTCATTATCCAAACTAGGTAACATCATCAGATGACATGATTCTCCTGTATAAAATGTACTCTCACTTCAGTTATTTAGTTTTAATACAGCAATATCTTGTTTATATAGAGAAGGAAACCTAAATTGATTTAGAGTGTTGTTTTGCTCTAAGTTATTTAGATTAGCTTTTGACTTTGCAGAATATAGCATTTGTCTGTGCTGTATTCTTCCTTCTTTCTTTTTTATTCAAATCTATAAATTTGTAAATTCATTGATCCAGATGGAACTTAGACTATCCAGTCAAAAGTCCCTGATTCTTTCAGGCATATTTTTTTCCCATTTGGAATTAGTGACAGTACTGTATGAAAAGTCTCAAAATACATACAGAAACACCACAGCATATTGTGAGTGACTGGTAGTTAGAATACTATTCCTAGTGTAAATAAAGGATATTATCAAATGACATTCTTGACAAGCCAATACACAAGGAATTTTATTTGTTGTTCAGGAAAATAATAGGCATATTTCACAGTAAAAAAAGCGACCATTCATGTTTATGTGTTTATCATATATAAAGATTGCCCATTCAGTCTCAGAGTGACTCTTTAATTTTGTCTTCCTCAAATCAGAAAGGATCATTTTTCAGGCTTGTGAATAGATTATCTACTTAACATTGTTTAGTATTCCAATTTTCTTATTGACAATGGTAGCTTTTGCCCCCTCAAATGGAAACATTAATTTTACTAACACTTGCCCTTTTTTAAAGATGAATTTTAATTAGGTTATAAAGGAAGCCATAATGTAATTGTCATTGAATGTCCCACATAAGCAATTCATATTATTCATTTGTATTAATCATTTCCCTTGATCTAGAAACACTCATTTTCAGGTATTCACATTGCTAGGAAAATTAACAAGCTTGGTATGAGATCATCTGATACAGTCGAAGTCTTCTTTGAAAATGTCAGAATTCCCAGCAAATACCTTATTGGGGAAGAAGGAATGGGATTTATTTACCAGAAGTTGCAATTCCAAGAAGAACGAATGTGGGGAGTAGCCTCAGGTAAGTAATAAGCCACACTGTCCGGCCACTAAGATGGCTTTTGCTTACAAAACAATGTGGAAAGTTGATTTTGGCAGTAAAATATAACAATTCTCTCAATTATGAATGTGGAAGCCAAATTGTATGCATTTCCATAGCTGCAGATTCCTTCCATATAGAAATCTGTGAAAAAGCATTTGTTCCCATTCAGTTTTTCTGAATTTTGAATATTTTTGCCATTACATGTTACCAAAATTTTATATGGGTCTCTCTGTTATATAACAGGCTCTGATGAAAAACACCAAATATTTATTGTCTGATAAACCACGTTGTCTGTTTTGCTTTGGTTTGGCAAGATGAGCAGTGTACAACTTTAATAAATAAAATAAATATTTTAAAAACATCAGTTCAGTTAATACAACTAAAAAACAAACCATAACAGTTGTTTGAATACACTTAATTTGGATCAGCTCTTCTCTATATCAATTTCACAAAGTTTGGTTCTCCTTATTACAGTGAAGTGCTCTCCAGAGAACATATGACAACTTCCACAATAAAGTCATTGTTGCCTATCAGTCGGGACGATACTACAAGGCCATGTGGAAACTCTAGGACTCCACTACTCTAAAGTTAAAAAAATAGTTCTGTGTAGTGAAAGTTTGGAACAACAGAGAAACTTCTATTTTATCTTTTTTTTAAAATAGTGAAGTAAAAAAAAAACCTGACTCTAGCCAGATCAAGAAAGGTCTGAAAAGCCAAGCATATTCTGAGATTCCTGGAAATGTTATCCTGTACTTTGGGAATATTCTTGAGAGATAGCCATTGTTTCAAATTGGCTAAAAAGCATCTGGTTGACCTTCCAGATATATGGACCTTTTCAGGTTCCATAGGTACTATTATGTTTGATGAAAACCAAAGAATTCCAGATTGGTTTTAATGAATCAAATAAATTAATTCCAAATCTCATATCCGTCATCACAGAGGTGGTAAGTTCATAGTTTGGACATGCTCTTCGGTCTCAGGATCTGGACTACTTGCTATGATACAAAACATGTCATACAATTCTGCAGAATATCAAGCCATATATGCATTGCAGATGGGTTATGGACCAAAGCAGTGTTGCCAAATAAGCAAGCAAATCTGTGAGAGATTGGATGAAGAATTAAGTCTGCATTTAGATACTCTAACTCAGGGGTAGTCAACCTTGGCTCTTTTATGATTCGTGGACTTCAACTCCCAGAATTCCTGAGCCAGCACAGCTGGCTCAGGAATTCTGGGAGTTGAAGTCCACGAGTCATAAAAGAGCCAAGGTTGACTACCCCTGCTCTAAATCTAAAAGCTGAAATATTGTAGCTAGTCTTGAGGCAAGCAGTTCAAATAATAAAAATGTCAAATTTTACTGAGCAAAGCAACGTGCTATGAAACAGGCAAAATCCCTGCATAATTATCAGGAAGCATTACTGCAGTTCAAGATGGTGCAACCACTTACTGAATTTTGAGGAGGTTGCTGACTTGTTCCACATTCATTGCATGTTGTCCATGAAACAATGAGTTTCATTGTGTTGAGTATTATTACTCCCTTTAAGTAATAGTAGCATTCATGGAAAGCTCTTGGTCATGTTCTATGGCAAAGATATGCAAAAATTCAGAAAAATCTGAAGGACGGGAGAGAGGCAGAGGGAGGGAGGGTGGGATGGGGAGACTTAACCTTCAGTGTAAAGGAATTAACTTTCATCTTTTATTATGTCACATTTTTAGAAATGATAGCTCTAGAAACCATGATAAAAGAAATTATACTTCTCAACGGAAGGCATTTGGCCAACCAATACATCACAATCAAATAGTGCATTTTCACCTGGATGAACTAGCGACTGAACTGGAACTCCTTCGTGCACTGCTATATGAGATGATAAGTAAATGCAGTAGAATTTTATTTCCAATGATCTAATAAAAGGTAATTTTATTTTTGAAAATATGTCTAACTTGATAGGCAAATTTGTATTTTTATTTGAGGTCTCTATATACGTGGTAATGATGTGACAAAACTTGTATCCATGGCCAAGCTAAAGTGTGGACGTCTATGTCAAGAGATTCCAGATAGCTGTCTCCAGTTCTGGGAAGGAATGGGGTACACTAATGAAGTGCTAGTGAGCAGAATGTACAGGTGAGAATGATTAACCCTTTAGTCTATGTGAGTGTACCTGTGCAAGTATGTAATGTTACAAGCATTCAAATTATTAATCAGGTATTCATATTTGATGTGTAGTTAATGTAAAATTTTAAGAAAATATATGTCTTATAATCCAAGGAACTTTATATACTTTGTATCCTGCAGGATATTTACAGTATACGTTTCTTAAATTCCTCATGCCTCATGTTAAGATCAAATGCACTCAAATCCACCCCCTCAAAAAAATCCTACAAATACACAGGGAGAACAGCTGAAGCAGTAATAGTAAACTTTTATTTCTGTTATTGACCAACAATATTTATATTCAATGTAAAATTAAATGCATTCCATTATGCCAATAGTTGAACTTAAGTACAATAAGAAGATGAGGTGGCTACAGGAACTACTATCTCAAGACAATGAACATATATACAATATATTTAATATGTGTATGTTTGTATATGCACGTGTAACACACACATACACCTGGAATACTGTGTCTAGGTTTGGTCAGCACAACATAAAAAAGATATTGAGACCCTAGAAACGATGCAGACAAGACCAAAAAATGACAATGAATTGTTGAGAGAACTAAGTATTCCTATGTGGCAAATCATTAAAGAGAGTTCCAACCTAGAACCAAGGAGAAACCAGTGAGAACAATTACTCAGTAGAATGTCTTACCTCTGAAAGTTGTGGCTGCTCCATCACTAGAGATTTTCAAGAAGAGACTGGACAGCCATTTGTCCAGAATTATATATACATGGCCTGCAAAAGAGCCCTTATTTCTATGTCTTGGATTATCGAGATAAGAATACAAAAATCTTGCAAAATGCAGCGAAATCTCCATCTTGCACATCCTATTTGTCTACTTTGGATACAGAGGATAAACCTAAATTCATAGGGTTCACAGAATGTATTTGAGTAATTTTTACTAATTTAAGTAAATGTTATATAATATCAGGATATACATGGCAAAAATTAAGTAAATGTTAAGTGTTACATAAAATTTTATATATTACATAAAAATTACATATAGTTTTAATGGTCATCCTTCTCCTATTCATTAGTCTGTTACACAGAAGTTTTAGTGTATTTTAAGATTTTTAATTGAACATTTTTTTCAATTAATCTATACAGTGTAAAACAATGCAATTGGTTAGGAGTTCGGATGTATTCTAGGATCTCTACATCTCATTTCTTATTATTATCATCTTCTAGGCCTGCATTAGTCAATTCTCAATGAAGAGTTTTGTGCTGTGAGGCGAAATGATCTCTTCTTTACTTTGAGGAAATGAAGAGGAAGTAAATTTTGCCTTAAACACTTTGCATTGCTTAAGGTGCAGCATTTACCTCTTCATTTGCAAAACCCTGAAGAACTTCTGCACAAGTGCTTTTGACAAGTGACAGATTATGCTAACCATACAGTTCCCTCATAAAAGTAGCTTGAAGGGGTTATTTTGCTTGAAACCTCATTGAAGATCCTTCAAAGATTTGCATAACCTTATTTTATTCTGCATGATCACGCTGAAAGCAGCTTTTTTCGGAATGTAACTTTTTTTTCCAGTGATTAAAAAGTACCCTAATCTATAATTCTTAGGTAGTCCTTGGTTAATGGCCACTCATTCAGCATCTATTCAAAACTGCAATCATGCTGAATAAGTGGTATAGATAGTCCTTGACTTAACATCAGTTCAAGTTACAACAGTACCGAAAAAGGGACGTATAACCATTTTTCTCACTTATGATCATTGATTTATGATTTACACTCAGATGCTTGACAAGTGGTTCATATTTATGACAACTGCAAGTGTCCTGGCATCATGTGATCCCCTTTTGCGACAAATGAAGTTAATGGAGAAGCCAGATTCTCTTAACAACCATGTTAATAATTTAACATCTGCAATGATTCACTTCACAAACATGGTAAGAAAAGTTGTAAAATGGAGCAAAACTAACTTAACAAAATTCTCAATTAGCAACATAAATTTTGGGCTCAATTGTGGTGATAAGTTGAGGACTAACTGTACTTGTAGACAATCCTTAGCATTCCAGCTGTTGCAATGCCCCATGAATAAGTGGTCACCATTTGCAACTTTGTTTGGCAGCTTCTGAGAAGCAAAGTCAATGGAGAAGCCAGCAAGAAATCACAAATGGGGATCATTCAATGTCCTCGCTTAGTAACCCACAGTGATTTGCTTAACAATGGCAACTGGGACTGACAGAATTGCTGTCACTAAGCAATGTGACTACATGACATCATTCTTTATATTTGTAGTGCTTAATGATGGTAATTCCAATCCCAATTGCTGTTGTAAACCAAGGACTACACATACTTGCAAATAGATAGTTCATTTCTAATTCAAGGAGGCATACCAAAATGGAATTGAAATAACTCTCCCCCCCCCCGCCCACCAAGGAATTAGCATGCTTTTCTGAGAGAGAGGATTGACTGGAATTTTGGGGAATTTTTATGGGCTGTATTTTTTCTGACATAGAAAAAATATGCATCAGAACAATTCTATTGAAAGCTATGGGCCCACACAGCCATCAAAATCATGGGGATTAATGCCTGTGTAACAGAAGATTAAACCTTACTGTGGATCCAGGACTGATATTCAAGATTGTGGTTTCCATTTTCCAAAGAGTAGAACTAGAGTAGGAATCTTGTTACCCAATTTATAATTATTTAGCTTGGCAACAGAGAAAAGTTGGCAAGATTTCCTTTGTAGGCTTTGGGTGCTATATATGCAGTCACACTCAGTTATAATTGCTGATCATTAGACTGAGGACCATTAGATTCTGTCCCAAACTAAAATGTTGTACTTATAAATCCAATACATTATAAGTGATGATAATGATTAGTATATTACAGCAACTTGCAATTTACGTTAGTTAAACAAGAACTGTTAAACAATATTTAGTATAACTGAAAGGGGAAACAGAACAGACAAATTTCACTTTATTGATACTTTCTTTTGCCTTTTCTGTCATGGCAGAGATTTAAGATTGATATCAATAGGAGGTGGTTCTGATGAAATCATGCTGTCTATTATATGCAAATACATGGGTATATTGCCACAAAAGTAAGTTTTGTGAATACTATAAATCTTTGCTACTGTTTAAATAATCTGTATTAGACAGCTTTTTTTATATGGGTACGATAAATATATCCAAAGGAATTACATTTTTAATTTTCATAATGATTTTTTTCTTGCATGTAAATTATACTTAAATTTAGCATCTATAAGGCTACTGAAAGTGTGCTGATGCACCTGAAAGCAGGTGTATTTTTTCCCCTGATTTCATGCAGTGAACACACCCAGGCCAGATCTGAAGCCCCTCTTCTGCTTTAAATGTGAATGCCTGCACATTCATACCTAGAATGTTTTTCTGGGTTTCTTTTAATTCTAAAAAGTGAATCCATCGTTTGCTTCTGAACAATGTAAGATAGGGATGTAATGTAAAAAATGTAATGATAGGATCAACCTAGGATTCTTATCCCAAATATTTTATAATCAAGATTTTCAAATATTAATCAAAGCTCTGATCACACATATTAGTTCATATAATTATTCCGTGCATCTCATAGATATTAACATATGCATTAATATTGCATATCTTAATGTTGTACCATACAATTATATTGATTTAAATAATTATTTAAATGTATTGTTTGTGTAACCTTGTTAGTAACAATTGAATAATACATAGAATGTATTCTATATTTATTTATAATATAATATGAATGTATTAAAGGCACCATTACTTTTCAAAAGATGTGGAAAAATGTCCACCTGTAGTTGACTATTTAGTTTAATTGAATATGGTGCCCGAAAAAGAATGGGTGCATGGTGTACATAGAGTTATGCATAGCTTAGATAAGAGAAAAGTTTTTATCCTTCTTTCACACTGTTAGAATTTCAAGTCATCTATTACCCAAACTAAATGCAGGGAGGCTAAAGATGGTAAGAAAGAAATATTTTTTCACATCATATACAGCTAATTTAGGGAATTCACTGCCAGCAGTTGTGATTACAGCAAGCAATTTGGACAGCTTTCAAAGAGAGCTGAATGGGTTCATTGAAGAATCAATGATGGCTAACATTGAAGATTTACTACCCCCTGCATCATAGGCTGCATACTCAAATATTGGTTATTGGGAAGTATTTATGAAAGGGAACCATTTTCCTCCAATTGAATTTTATGAGATTAAGACATTCAGATGTAACATCAGTAAACAGTGGGCTTGTAGTTAGTTACAAAAAAGCTATTTTAAATTGAAACATTAATCTGTATTCTCTTATTTTATAAGAACCAAAAAGGATGACCCCTGGAATTTTTAGAACTATATAGCAGGGGTCCCCAATACCCAGTCCATGGACCAGTACCAGACTGTGGCACACCAGCAACCAGGCTGCAGAAGAAGCAAAGCCCCATCCGCGGGATGCAGTCAGTACACAAAACCACGCTCCCTCCAATCCGCGGAAAAACTTCTCCCACGTAACCGGTCCCTAGTGCCCAAAGGGTGGAGACCTCTGCTATATAGCACAATTATGATGAAAAAAATCTCAACGTCAGTCAGCCTAATCATATTCTTCAAATGATTTAAAGCTTTAACATTAATAACTTTAGTTTTTCATTTTTCTTTCTTTTTATTATTGTAAATTCCTTAGAGCAGCCCACCAAACAAACAGCAAATAAATTTAATAAATGATACTGAAAAAGGAAACATTCCTATTGCATTTCTCTATATTTTAAATGATAAATATGTATAGTGTATATAAGCCTTACCATTAGTAAAATCAAAGATATTCTTCAGTATTTTCAATATAATAAAATAGGATATAATTTTTATAATTGAAGCATTTATATATGATTGGAATAAATTTCAAATCGTGAATTGTTCTACTACATTTTTTTAAAAAATCATTTCAATTGGAGAATTTGTCAGTATAAAATACATATAAATGAAACAAAGATATATTTGCTCCATATTGGTGTGACTCTATATGTTGGAACTGAAAAATGGATGGAAATTATCATTGCTGTTGAAATGGCCAATTGTGATGGTGACTAGAATCCTCACTTTAACACTTTAATGGGATCCTAGCTACATAGTGACTGGATTTGCATTATCAAACTTCTCAAGATAAATGCTGAAGATTCACTGGATATTTATCCAGCATCTAACTTAGCTTAATAAAAAATATTTACCAATTTTCTCAAAAAAAAAAAAAAAAATTCTGCATGCAAAACTTCTAAGAAGCTTAATATAACACTCAAGGTCATTCTCAAATTTGCAGGTGTGTTAAAAATAAACATCTATGAACTCAGCAAAAACAGTATAAAGTATTTAATATAGAGCAGTGGTTCTCAACCTGTGGGTCGGGACCCCATTTGGGGTCGAACGACCATTTCACGGGGGTCGCTAAATAACGCAGTCCGCCATTTTTCCCCCTTTTCCTTAGCTGTGCTACTCCCTTTTATTCTATTGGTTTTTGAAAGCCAATAGAATAGACTCTCTTGAATAGAGTCTAATTCTATTGGCTTTCAAAAGCCAATAGGAATTTTCTAGGCTGTCTCTGCCCTGCTGAGCCCGCCAAAAGTCCCATTCTGCAAACGGTGCTGCAAGTTGTCTGCAGTGAAGGCGAGCTGTCTGGAAGTTTCCACCCCTCCCTGTTGAGCAACTACTAAAAATGTAAGTAAAAGAGGGCCAGGGGTGGGAGGTGGGAGGCCAGTGGGCGCAGGGAGGGTTGCTGGTGCATGTGGGGCCCAGCGGGTGCCTTACCTCCCTTGGGTTGGGCCAGCTGGTGGCCCAGCTGGTGGTCAGCCTGCGCCATCTCTGCCGCTTGCCAGCTACGCCTCGGCTGGCGCAGGAGGAGGCACCACACATGCACGGCGCTCGCGGGCAGGGAAAGTACTCGACTTACAACCGGTTGTGTAGTCCTCGACTTATGACCAGTTGGGGTTGCGGCATTAAAAAGGTTGAGAACCACTGATATAGAGAATTAAATATATACTACCCTCAAATCAGATTTGACTTCTGGTATCTGCTTGGATAAATCCATTGATTATTACTTGGAAACATTTCAGAAGTGGTTTGCCATGCCCTCTTCCTATGGCTGAAAGTTAGTGACTGCTTAAAATCAACCAGCTGGCTACCATGTGTAAAGCAGAGCTAAAACTCGGGTTTTCCCACTTCTAGTCTAACACCTTAACAACTAGCTCTGAGCATGAATTTTAAAATCTCGAGTGACGCAATGGTTATAATACAGTATTGCAAACTAACTCTGCGCACAGCCTGGAGTTCTATCCTGATAGGCTTAAGATTGACTTAGCCTTCCATCTTTCTGAGGTCGGTAAAATGAGGGCCCAAATTATTGGGGACAATATGCTGATATCTGAAATCGGCTCAGAGAATGCTGTAAAACACTATGGAGTGGTATTTAATTTTAAGTACTGTTGCTATTGCTGTTTTAAAACAAGAATTGCAAGTTAAAAGAGATTAATTGAAACTCCTGTGAAGAAATCTTCATATGAGATAGGTAGGTATTCCTTATAGAGATAAAACATTTTTTTTTCAAAAAATAAATACTGAGGTTCTATAGTATTCTCATCACCAAAATTTATCTCTCTTCTTGGAACTTTATAAATGTCACCTTATTATCAGATTTCATATTCTGGAAGTTAACACTGTCCTACCAAATTAAAACAGCGACATTATTAATGGTGCAACTATCGAGTGTTGCTACTAGGAATATACCAATATATAATAAAACAGGCCATTTATTTAATGGGGATTTAATAGTTCATCTTTTAATTAAAGGGAATCTAACCTCTAAATTTATTTTTTCAAAACAAACAAAAAACAGCCTGTTTCACTATTACATTACATGAAACCTCAAACATTGTAACAGCGGGTTGTGCAACTGCTTTGCCTACCTAGAATGTTGCACAAACTGCCTATTGTAAGATAGTATAGTAAAATTAAAACTGCCTATTCTGGTCTTTTAACCCTAAACATAATAATAATGGAATCCCAGTATAGATATGTGGGTAAAGAACCACATGTTTGAATTGTGAGCCCCCTTTCTTTTCCCTCACACAACTGTATCGCAAAACTATTATAAAGTATATAATTAACTGCAAGCCAAATTCAGAACACTATTAAATATTTTACTAAAACAATAGCCCTTCAATTAATTTAGCTTTAAAGTCATTTCAATTTTTAAAATATTTGATAAATTTATATAAAATCACCAAGATTATTTTTATTATTAGGAAAAAAAGCAACCATTTTTATACAGTGTAATTTCTGAACAGGAAAATGCCTGTTTCAATAATAGATTTCATCCTTAGTAAACTTGTGTTTTGTCTGCAAAGAGTTCAGATTTGAACAAATTCAGTTTAGAAAACTCTACAAAATAAGGGCTTTTTAAAACAAAAAACAAAAACGCTTCTAGCTTGATAAGCATTTAAGAGTATACAGCAGAGATCCAAATGCATTAATCCTAAATCCAGTTACAAAAATTATTTACCAATTTTCTCAAAAAAATCTTTCAAGAGTCTATCATGTTGTAAATAATCTCATAATGGAGATCTGCATTACCTTAGTTTAATAATCCAATAAATCACAAAAAACACAAACAATGAGAACAGCATCATGTAGCATAAAAGTTTTGTCTGGCTTCCTCTGGAGAGGATTTTCAATCTGCCCATTGTTGCACCAAGGAATCCACTTGTTGAATCAAAATCATTGTCCTGTTGTTAAAAACATGCAGAATTATTTTACTGTTTGCATCTTACCTAAACTTTTAATACATAAAGATAGAGCCTGCAACCAGATGTATTTTCTCTGCTCATAGATCAGCAAGGTATCTAAAATGTTTTTCAACACTGAGAGCCGTGGTGAGGCAGTGGTTAGAATGCAGTACTGCAAGCGAACTCACTGCTCACTCCAGGAGTTTGATCCTGACTTAGGTTGACTTAGCTTTCCATCCTTCCGAGGTCAGTAAAATGAGGACCCAGATTGTTGGGAGCAATAGGCTGACTCTGTAAATTGCTTAGAGAGGGCTGTACAGCACTGTGAAGCAGTATATAAGTCTAAGTGCTATTGCTTTTGCTATTAGCAACTTTTAATACAAAAAGACTTCAACTCTCAGAATTGACTTCAACTCTCATGCATTGGAATATTTTTGCTCAACTTGGGCTCCCTTCAAATGGGTGGACTTCCAACTCTCAGAATTACTTTGCCATATTGGGTATTTCTGAAAAGCGTATGTTCATATTTCCAAGCAGTACGGGTTGTCTTTCTGTTACAACCATTTGTTTAGTGACCATTTGAAGTTACAATAGCACCCAAAAAAGTGATGTATGACTTTTTTCACACTTACAACCACTGCAGCATCCCCATGGTCACATGATCACAATTGGGGTGCCTGACCATTGCACTGTCCCAGGCTCATTAAAATATCATCACTTGTAACCTTCGCAGCTGGAGTCTGACAAGCAAAATTAATGGGGAAAGGCAGATTCATTCAACAACTGCATGATTTACTTAAAACAGCAATGGCCTGCTTACCTGTGGCAAAAAGTCATAAAATGGAGCATAGGTCACTTAACAACTGCCTTGCTTAGCAATTAAAATTTTGGGCTCCATTTTGGTCATAACTCTGATTGTAGAAAGCTAAGTCAGAGTTTCGAACAGAATACTGAGTTCAAATCAGCATTCAGGCATAATCCTCACTGGATTTATTTAGATATGTTATTGACTTTTTGGTATAATGTTTTTTTTACTGAACTGTGAAAATACTGCTTAATCCTTAGAGAGAAAGTGAGACATAAATTGAATAATTCCTTTGCTTCATTTGAAAATACTAAATTTTAGACAATGAAAGTTAAGTAAAATGTTGAAGAAATTAAATTGTTCTCACTTGCACGGAAAGAATTGTACTTCAGTGTCTAGTTCACCTTCCCAAAAAAGGTGGCAGTGGATATTTTTGCTTTTTTTAAAAATGTCCCATGCATTTAACTTTATTTTAATAGCTGTATGCAAAATTTGGATTTTTTGGGGATATATATATATATATATATATATATATATATATATTGCAACTATCTATTTCTTCTGTAGAAAATGCAAAATTTTATAATATTTATTTTATTATTTGATTACATTGCCACCCATTTCTGTGACTCTGGACATGTAACAATTTTGATGTTATGTACAGGGCTAAATAATCCAAACTTATACATAAAATAAACTGGAGGTCACCAACCTTTGTTGATTGGCGGACCGGAGGACAAGGGAGGGGAAAGCATTTTACACACGTGTATGCGTGTGGGGCCGCGAGCACACATGTGCTGCAAATGGGGCAGGGCTAGCATCCGCGAGATACTCGCTAGCCCTGCCCCATTCTTGTGTGGCTCAATGCGTTTCTTCGCCAAGTGATGCGGCGATGGCTTTTGTGCTCTGCAGTGTGGCGGCATTTTTGTGCCCTGTGGTGCGGCGGCGCTCATTTTTGTGGCATTCATTTTTGCACCTTGCAGCTTGGGGGTGGCCTGATTTTACATCCCATGGTGCAACAGCGCCCCATTTTTGCACCCTGAGGTGCGGCGGCAGCCTGTTTTTGTGCTCCGTGGCATGGCATCCTATTTTTGTGCCCTGTGGCTGTGGCACTAACACAAGCGAGGGGGTGCCCGGCATATGCACGCGCACTGGCCAGCCTGTCCCACAGCCTGGTGGCCAGACCACGGTCTGGTGGCCAGGAGACCACGGCCCACAGGTTGGGGACCCCTGAAATAAACCTACTGAAATAACAAACCTAAATCATTATTCACTTATCTTATTAAATTCAGTGGTGTCATCTAAGCATGACTTAAGGGCTGAGTATGTTAAAATTCACTTGAGTGATTTTTAAATTAAATTGATTTATTTGAAAGCTTAGAGTTTAGCTGTTTCCATGCTCATCTAAAATAAACTGCTTAAGTAAATACATACCATTTCAGTTAATAATTTATTATGTTGTTTAACTTCTGTTCCAATTTCAATGGAAAGCTATGAGAAAAAAAAGACATACCATATTTTACAATGCATAATAGTATATAGTGAGATAACAAGGTTATTTAAAGTATTCCAGATGATCCTAAAAGGTCCCAGGTTTGAAATGGAATTGAGTAAGATAGCATTATTTTTCCAACCATTTCATTCATTTTCAATACAAATTCTCTCCCTTCTTCTGTTTTTTTCCTTATGTAGTACGAATTATAGTATTAGTTTGCTCTGCTCTCCAAAGCTTTTAACTAAAGACACTTTGTATACTGTTAAATCTTTGTCTTAATTCTTATTTCTTTTCTGTTTATAATGTGCTTAGATAATTTGTTTCTTTTTTCAGCATTTTATATGTTTCAGTATAACTGAAGCCCATACTTCCGAACTACAGACCACCCATATTGAGCAAAAAATGGTACACATGGCAGATTAAATTACAGAAGATTATTAATAGTATGCTAGCTAGTTTGGGTAATAGATTATTCTATTACATCTCATTTATTTCCTATAGATTCCTTTGAACCATAATAATTCCACAAGATTTGGTAGTTAGATCAAGGGAGCCATTGGGCTGCTAAAATGTCTTGGTATACCTTCCTTACATGGTGTATAATAAGTTGAAGTCAATGAGTTCTTTTTGAAGAAAACTTGAACTTTTTTTTGCCACACTGAAACTTATTAAAGACATAGTAAATGAATTGGCAAGTGAGGATGTACAAATTGCCAGCTTTACTTATAGAGACCAGACTAGACAACTGGGCTGGTTCAGTTTAGTTTCAGTATTTATTTAACAGAACAATTTAACTTCGTGGCTTATAAGTAGACTTATAAGTAGACATACTAAACTTTGCTGATTTATCATTCCCTTAGGAACACAATTCTTACTCACAGTGCCAAACAAGAAAATCTTCTGCCAGAACTAATACTCTGATTAACTAAAAAGGGCAGCTGAAACTCAAATCCAATTATAGGTAGAATCTATTCTATGAACAAATGTACCATGCTTTCTGATGAGCAACAACTGTGCCTCAATTCAATTAAATTGTTGCTACACACTGATAATCCAACCACTATGTACTCTAATCAATTTGGATACTGCTAGTATAATGACATACTTACAGATTTTATGGCAGTGACTTTTGAACGCAAACTTTCTGTTAGCTTTTCATTTTCTTCCTCATATACACTATAGCCACTATTGGTATAACCATAATTGCTGCCAGCAGCTCCTTCACCTGAAAAAAACAATCAAAGCACCAGAAGTTCAGATGGGAAAATATGGTTTCTGGAGGGAAAGAGTTTTATTAAATCATCATCTGTTTTAAAAGTACAGGCCAGTAATGTCATCATGAAATAGGAACAACCTAAACCTTTCATAATGTAAAATTGAACAGGATCAAAGTAATGAATAAGGGAAGAAGGAAGACATACAAAAGATGATTAATTCATGTTACCCTCAGGGCCTTTCCATCTACAGTCCAATCCAATGGGTTGCAAAGAGAATTCAGGATCCAAATCCATTGTCTTAAAAAATAACTAAAAGAAACAATCCAAAGCATCTATGTACTGTTAACATTTTACAAAAGAATATACATTAAAGTCTATCTCTTCCTCTTCTTTGATTTTCTAAGGGGGGGTGTACGTATCTGGATCATCTATTAAATTAGATGTGTTATTTTCTTACTCCTTTCTTCATGCCAACACAAAATCAAAGACATCTTCCCCAACTGCTAAGTTCTACTCTTCAAAACTGGTCTTAGAAATTGTCCCTTGCCTTTTTCTTCAGTAAGAATAGGCAGTGTTACTCTTCAAGATTAGCAATTTAAAAACTTTATAATTGGATAATTTTGATCACCTGCTCCCACTGGTTTTTTGACTGTTCAATACATTTTGCAAAGGAAAGCTTCTTTCAGACTCCTATTTAGCATCAGGGACTACATGGGTGGGTCTTCTCTGTGCCAACATCACTTTTGGAACATCCTGAGATTGGTTAGAATACAATGATAATATTCTGCATCACTTTAATCCACAATCGGGACTGATATTCCAGTCCCAATTGTGCTCATAATCCAAACACTACCTGTATTATTTTTATTTGCAATTATTTGTAAAATACAAAATTGAGATTTGTAGAAAATTTTGCAATTTCAATTTTTGAATTTTTATTATTTCTTTACCCTTATTCCTCCTAGTTACTTTTAAAATTATTTTAACTCCTTTTAACGTACTGCTTTTCCTGATATTTTTTCCTTTGCTTTTGAAAATTAGCCACGTGTAGGTTTTTTATTTTTACATACACTTTACCTCTTAATACGTTTAACAGATCTAAAGATGCTCATAATTGGTATATCATTGAAATGTTTTTAAATAAAATTCAATTATAATATGTTGGAAGGTAAAAGGTAAGATGAAGGAGTCCCTGAAGATTTTACTCCATTAGTTGTTGCCGACTCTAAGGGGCAGTGCTCATCTTTGTTTCAAGGGCCATTGGGCGCTGTTTGAAGATTCTTCCATTATGCGGCCAGCATGAAGTCATAGAGCACTGTTACCTTCCCACCGAAGAGGTACCTATTTATCTATTGGCATTTGCATTCTTTCAAACTGCTAGATCGGCAGTAGCCAGAGCAAGGACAGGAGCTCACCCCATTGTGTGATGCTTGGGTTTCAAACTCAGGCTGTCATCTTAATTGTTGAGCTATCGCACCGCCACAATTTATGTTGCAAATTCAGTAAAAACTTTACCCTCCATACATATTAAGCCTATCATACATCTGTATCTGCTGTGGGATACAGAAACTTAATACTTTACTGCATTTAGTGGTAGCTTAAGAAACACACTATTTAATAATTTATTTACATATACATATACATGTACACACACACACACACACACACACACATAAAGTCATTTGTCACAATTTATTTTAAAGAACTGCACTAACTCACAAAGATTTAGTAATTTTTTGTACAGTTTTTAAGGTGCTATAAAATACTATTAAACCCCACTTTGATTAAGTGGACAGGATCCACAAAGTAGTAGAGATAAATCTGTTATGTTTCTAAAAGGCTACAAACCTTTTCTTCATTTTTCCCCCAGCAGACTAATATGGCTAGCTCCTTTGAAAACAAAAATATTAAGTCAACTTTTAGAATGAAAATTATAATTTGTGTGTTAGAAATAAAAGATTATATTGTTTTTTTTTAGGTAGAGGGCCATTTTTTCAGGTCCTCTAGAACATGTTGCATGAGGGTGGGGCAAACTGAAGTGGTTATGTTGAAATACATCCATGCATACAGCATCTCATCCATACATAATACATACATCCCTCTTACACAACAGCCCACAGATATATCAAATGCTTGATAAATTTGGCAGGTGAAAAAGTAATGGCTAGACAAGAGAAGGAAGAAGAGGGTCAGGTAAGAGTCAGATATGTTGATGACCTAAAAAAAATCAATGAATTATTTTACTGAAAACATGGCATATAAACTGAGTCTCAATATCTCAAATAAGAAAATAGATTTATAATTTTCATAGGGGGGACAGGAACTTCACTTCCAAATAGTTAAAATAATAGAGTAATGATGGAACTATGTCTACACATTTCTTGGATAGCTAAAAGTTGTACAGGGACCATTTTTCGTGAACAGAATTCAAAAGTTATACATCATAGACTGGAAATGTTTTCTTGCAATTCCAGATGTCTATTTCATAACTGATGCAACACAGAAATACAGCTAGTTTCTTCCCAGAATCTCATCAATCATTTTTACTCAATGATGCACTTTAAGATTCTTCAGAAATCCATTTATGACATTACCTTGGGAGAAAAGCCACTACCCTTTTTTTTCAAGGAAATTTGAGTAGAGGTGCCATAAAGTTTGCACTAATGAAACCTTGTTCTATCCCACCTTTTCATCAGATAGACAAAGCAGTGGAACCAGTCTTGAAAAATAGAACACTTATGGAGGAACTTAAGGCAAATGAAATTTAAACAGACTAGGAGATAAACCATTGTGTCAATGTCAATGGGATTTCATTTTCCTAAATACAGATATGAACATTTTAGTCATAATCCATGAAAAGCACTCTGGCAGGTATATAGCGGATGGTAAAAAACTAATTTTGATTTTATTGACTGCAACTAATGAAGGCATCCAGATGCATTTTCTAATAACCTGAAGCATTAATAAATTAATGATGCGGCAGCAATTTGAGGATAGAACTGGGGGCTCCACACAAGACTTAGGAAGCCACATACCTAAGCAAGTTTGTTTTAAAGGATAAGGGTGCTGATACATATTGTCATTGGAAGGCCAAGTGGCAACTGTAAGATGCAACAGGCTTGTAAAGCAGATTCACATCTTCCCAAACTGAGATTATTTGAATGTCTATTGTTTAGATTACTAGCACATGGTAGGTTTGCCTTTACACATTTTCTTAAAATTTCAGTTATCTATCCACTAAATTATTACTTGGCCCAGCTAAAAAAATAAAACTGTACCAGCTTCTGAGTACACTTCAAATTGGTGAAAATCACTTATACAATTGGTAATAAATTAGGGCATAGATAAAATCAGTATTATTTTTTTCTGTTTGAGACACAAACACATCACACACACACACACACATTATAATCACCTCAGAAATCCTATCTTTAAAACTAGAATAGCGTGCCTTGGAACAGGTCTACTCATGGAATATTGCCATAACATCTAATTTAATGTCTGTCCAGACTCACCTGAATGCTAGAAATCTATGTTCCGATTTTTATACATATTATAATTTATAGTTACTGGATCTGCTGGATTTTATTGTTCATTCAATGCACAAGATGTGAATAAATTGCTCAGAATTTGGACTGGGTCTATGGGTGTCACCCACTTCTGAATTTTAAAAAGAAAAGTAGCATACACTATCTTTCACTATTTTCTTGAAGTTTTCTATGTAAAACATAAAATATGGTGAGGCTATTAATGAGTCAAAATGCAAAGATTTCTGCAGAGTTAGCTGACTAAATGAGATACAGTTTATCCATATAAAATGGAAAGCATTTTTGATAAAGAGCCAAAAATAATTTATAAATAGGAGAAAGTGAGCTACAAAAATACTTTATTATGCAGAATGCATTATAATAGAATGCCATTGAATTACTTTGAAGATAATTAATTTATATATTAAATTTCACATTATTTTGCATGGCCCAAATGCTTTCAGAATATACTAGGTTTCTAGGAAGAAAGCTGATTAAATTTGCAAACTATCTTCATAATGTGTAGTGTTAACTTTGTCATAGTAAATGATATTTCTAGTCTTAGGTTTCCAATTAGCATTCAATGAAAGATTTCTGATAAATTAAGTTTTTCCTAGATGTCATAGGCCAGAGAATAGAAGCTTTTGATGGCAGGGTTGCATACCTATTTTAAAAGTTAATGCAGTTTTTTATTCTCATTAGTGCAGTGAAAACTGGGCTGAATGTTAAGCATCCACAAAAGCTCATCATTAAAGCCATAATATTCATTGCTGCCTCATCTTTTCATTATTCATGCAGTCTTGAACTTCCTGATACAATTCCTTGGTTGTGTCTAATCAGTCAGTCCATCCCTCTGTAAATCTCCTCCCACATACCTGGGAAAGAGACTGGTAGATCTCTTTGTAGCATATGTGGCAAGACATACAGAACAAACAAGCTACAGATAGTGTTTTATCGCTTTCATCATAGTCTACAGTTAGTTTTAACTTTATTCAGTAATGATGATTTTTGCAGATAGTTGATGAGAGTACCCCATAGGTACACCCTGACTCTCAACGCACAGCTGGCCTTTAAAAATCTGAGATAAGTGTTCATCCAGCTATAGTAGGATGACTGAACTATACATGATACTCCACCTGTATTTATTTGCCAGATTTATATCCTGACTTTTGGTAGAAGACCACAAAATAGTGTGCATAAAGTTCCTTCTATTTTTCCCAACCACAGCCCAGCTGGGTAGACTGAGCTGAGTGTAACTGGTCCAAAATTACCCAAGGAGCTTCAGTCTAAGCCTAATCTATAGGGTGCCCCTTGTGCCAGTCCCTCTTACACCCCACTGGCTCTTTGCATTTCTGCCATCTGTTCTAATATCCAACTATGTGGCTTAACTCTTGGTAGGAGACATCAACCCAAGACTATCCACACCGGCAATTGAGTGTTTTTAACTCTTAGGCATATTAAGTGTAAAACCAATTGAGGAAAAAAGGGCTAAATACATCGGCAGGAGAAGGGTATCACCAGGCCTCTGCTATTCGCCTTAATGAATAAGAGGAAAGTTAACCTAAATCCCGGGAGAGGCTTGGATCTTTTCCCGAAGACGCGGGCCGTGAATGACTGTGGTAAATGCGCTGAACCTCTGAACACCGGTTTCCTTCGTAGAGCCCAGCTCCCCACAACAAATTTTTCGTTGTTCATCCCCACTTACCCAGCCCAGCCCTCCTCATCCTTATTCGCCACAGGAGAGATGAGATAAGTCCTTCTCCTGAGACTCACGGGCACCACTGAAGACCGCCGTTCACACACTCAGCGGCAAGGAGAAAATTGGGCACACTTTCAGGCATTCCCACTGTAACCCCCGAAACGCCACGACAGCGTTAAGTTCCTGAAAAGCCTTCCGGGGAATGTAGTTTCGGTTTTTTTGTGTGTGTGCCCTCGCGAGGCCTTCTGGGTAACGTAGTTTCCCTGTAGTACTCCCGGAGACTTCTGGATAATGTAGTTTTACAAGCCTGCCTGGTTGCTTCTGCGCATCAAGGACTTGTTATAAAGTACGGTGATGAGATCGAGAAAAATAAATACCGGTAATTTTTGTTTTTTAACGAGGATCATCACTTATACTTTTACATGTGGAAGAGAAAGCGGACAATCGGAAAAAAGCGGATCCAAAGAGGGAACCCTCGATTATTTTCCTTTCTTTGGCGGGTTTTCAGGCTAGACGACAGCTGGCAGGAGAAGCGAGGCTGAAAGCAGTCTCATCTCTGGGCTGCGCAAGAAACCCAAGGCTCAACAAAGCTGACAAAAGCGGCTGCTACTCTCGTTCATCCACGGACTTACAAGGAGATGGAAACATATACAGGTAGTATATGCTGTTCAAAGTTACAACAGCACTGAAAAAAATGACTTATGGCCGGTTTTCACACTTATAACCATTGCAGCATCCCCATGGTCACGTGAGCAAAATTTGGACACTTGGCAACTGACTCATATTTATGACGGTTGCAGTGATCAGGAGTCATGTGATCAGCTTTTGTGACCTTCTAACAAGCAAAATCAATGGGGAAGCCAGATTCACTTAACAATTGTTTTACTAATTTAACAACTGCAGTGATTCACTTAACTGTGGCAAGAAAAATCATAAAATGGGACAGAATTCACTGAACGAATGTTCCACTTAGCAGCAGAAATTTTAAAGTCAATTATGGTCGTAAGTCAAGAACTACTTATAGTATTATATGAGGTATGAAGTTTTAAAAGAATCTTTAAAATCTAGATGAGACAGAATGCCTGATGGGCACCCAAGGAAATGGCTGGGCAGGCCTTTGGTGCCATTGTTTAGCATTTGCAGCAAACTGCAGTGATATCAAACAATGCATAATGTGATTACTCAAATGTTGCAATAAGTTAGTTACATCAGAATGCCTGAACAAATGGCACTAACCTATGAAGTTAGAAAAATATTCAAAAATATGCCTAGCAATTGTTGGAAATGTAGACAAAAATGAGGCACATACTATCATCTTTGGTGGACATGCCCTAAAGCCAAAAGATTTTGGTTAAGAATACATATATGGTTAGAGAAAATGAAAAAAAAACATGTAGATTTTATGCCAGAATTATTTTTGTTAGGTATAATTGTAGGAAATTATGAGAAAGAATGTGTATATTTAATGTTACATGTACTAACTGCAGCGAGAATTGTATTTGCTCAACGTTGGAAAAATAAGAATTACCAGCAGAGGAAGAGATAATTAAGAAAATGTTGAACTGTGCAGAAATGGACAGACATTGAAAATGAAAGAGAAAGAAGATTCAGAATACTTTAGAACAGAGGTCCGCAACCCCCAGTCGTGAACCAGTACTGGACTGCAGCATGCCAGCAACTGGGCCACACAAACAAGCAAAGCCCTTTCTGCAAGATGCAGGCAGCACACAAAACCACGCACCCTCCAGTCCGCGGAAAAACCTCTCTCCACTTAACCCAAAGGTGCCCAAAAGTTTGGGGACCTCTGCTTTAGAACATGGGATACATTTTATCAATGACTAGAAAAACGAGGTAGAGAGAAAGGAATTTAACACGTATTAGTACATGTATTAGTAAGCTAAATATTGGAACCCAGACAACATGTTGCTGATAAAATATTGAGGATTTGTGACTATAAAAAAATTAATAAAATATTGTTAAAAAAAGAATCCCTGAACACCATTATAATTGCTATGATTCTATCCTCATGTTGTTATTTGCCACCACCCTCTTCACCCTGCAGGTGCCTGTCTTGTATCTTGCTGTCAACCTCAACTCTAGGCCTTATTTGTAGGGGGCTGGTCACAAATATGAGAAATGAATGACAGTTCCAGTTCTTTCTGAAAAGGAGCAACCCCTTACCTTCTGAATAGGTCACCTACAAAAATACAACCTATTCTTTCATAAAATAATCACATAGAATGTGTACAATAGCTTAACCATCATTTGGATAAAGGGGGCAATCATTAAACATGCAGGTAATAATCATAGCAATATCATTTTTTCATTAATTTTTTATTTAATGTTTAATACCCCTTTAAACTGATGCATGTACCTGTGGATGAGAGGTTGCCTCAAATATGATTTCTGACCTCAAGAAAAGTTTTACAACTCTTTCTGTCATGATTCCTAGCAGAGGGTTAGAAACAAAACTTAAGTTTTTCTGCTAAAGATATTGCAAGAGGAAAGTCATGTTAATCTGATGGCAAAGAATCACAAGAAGACTAGTAGCATATTTTCTAACCAACAATGTTAGCACTCAAAAAAGTTTATGCTTTTTAATAAAATTTGTTAATTGGAAAAGATGCTACAAAATAATTCCTACATTTTTGCGCTTTCACCATTTCTTTATTTAGAAGCAACAAAAAATCTAATGTGACACAGGATGGGTGGTGAAGTGGGCTGTGAGGGGGAGTAGTTCTAACTGTTTCTCTCTCTTGGAGGGGGTATTTTCCCACTCCTGGAGGGAAGTGATGAAAGTTGGACACCCCCTCCCCAGCCCAACCAAGAAATAATCTAGGAATACCCCAACTAAACTGGGTCAACAGCAGCCTGAGGCTAAATGGCAAACACTTGACACACACAATGAGGAACCAGCTAGCAACAATCAGGACACAACAATAAAGTAATTAACACCTTTCAGGCAGGATTAGCAAAGAAATTTAACCAACAATAGTCACTGACCAACAAATCAGAAAAGGCAGATTCAAACTCACCAATTAGAAATGATAAGTTTGTTACCAATCAGAAATGACAAGTTTGGAAACCACAAAAGGGTATAAAAACCCCTATTTAAAGATCACTCTGTCTAGCTAGCCGGGGACTCGAGCTGAATTGTCACTCAACGCTGATCCTTGAAATTAAACCTCTTTCCGGTAGCTGGCTTCACGATCTATTCTGCGCCGCGCCGTCAAAGGGAATCCCGGCTGGAAGGACCGAACGGGGGAGTTCCTCCCAACAATCTGGTGACCTACGAAGGGACTTCCAGCTCACCCAGCCACCGGACCGGGCCCGGAAGAGTCATCACCCAGCCGGCAGCGGACACTTTGATCCGTGGGAAGCCTCCTCGGACCCTGCCCGGTCGGCATCGGGTAGTAAAGGGAGTTTTTGAGTCTTACGCTCGAACAGCTACCAGGAAAGAGGGTAAGTGCCACCAAATTTAAATCTATTAGGTTAAAGGGTCTGGGGGAACGAAAGGAAGAATGCATGAGTGTGTGTGTGAGGCATCCTCCTCTTAGAATCAGCTGGAGCTCGCTCCCTCCGTGTGCCCTCTAGCCGCACCCCGACCTGCTGCTAGCTCCAGTGGAGCCGTGACCGGCGGAATTCGGGAAAGCAGGGGGGGGCATCGGAGCGTGAGACCTTCTGGTGAGAGAGGAGGACCGAGCGGGCAGAGAAAGAGAACCCTATTCTGGGCAAGCCAGGACCCCTTCTGCCAGTAAATATTAAAGCAGTAGCCCCGAGCGGAGGTGGCCGCTCACCTCCGAGAATCTGTATTGGGGGAAAGAAGTCTCGCAAGGAGACTTCGACTGTATTAGGAGAAAGAAGTCTCGCAAGGAGACTTCGACTGTATTAGGGGAAAGAAGTCTCGCAAGGAGACTTCGACTGTATTAGGAGAAAGAAGTCTCACAAGGAGACTTTGACTGTGTTAGGAAAGAAGTCTCACAAGGAGACTTCGACTGTGTAGTGTATGAAAGAAAAATAGACTTTGCTTAGGGCTTTGCTGGGAAACCAATTTGGCTAAATAAAGGTACTTAAAAGGGAAAATAAGAAATAGTGATTCTCTCTCTCTCTCTCTCTCTCTCTCTCTCTCTCTCTCTCTCTCTCTCTTCTCTATGCAACCACATGGTATGTTTAAAATGTGTGCCTTCCCTAACTTGAGTTATCTGAAATTTATGGTGGGAATGACTAGGATGTGTAAAACTAAGACTTCTGTTCTCTTGTCTTTGTGTATATATGTTTGTCAAAGTCTGTGCGTGAGAGGTAAATGTGACTGTTAACTGTTTCAAATCCAAAGGAAAAAGAATTTTAAATTCTGCTAGAAATTCTGCTTAAAATAAGCCACAAAAAGGAAATACCTCACTCTGTTTGTCTGGCCAACAAACAGAGTGAAGAAAAAAAAATGTGTTTGTTTGTTTGTTTGTTTTCCTCTTTCTCTCTGTGTACGCTCAAGAACAGCCTTAAGTTACCATGAGGGATTGTTTTAAGTTTATCTGTTGGAAAAGTTTCACTTGCATTTACTGTATGTGTTTTATCTATCCTTTTCCTGAAAAATGTGTGTCTATCTACAAGAGCCTTTTGAAACTCAAGTCTGCTTGTGTGGGGAAATAATTTTCCTAAGTTACTTTTCATATCCTAAAACTTACTGGTGAAACTACTATGAAATTTTTCTGAAACAAATAAGCATTTTCCAATCTCTAAAATGATGTGATCTATTTTAGAATAAATGTTAAAGGCAGATCCTCCTACCCTTGGCAAGTTGCACATCTTAAAATATTAGGCTTTTAAAGTTATTTGGAGTTTTTAGCATTCTCAAGCTGCCTAACATTTTTTTTTCCTTCCAAGTTGCAAGTTCTTGCCCATAATATGTTGCAAATGGTCAAGTTCAAAGGTGAAACATTTCATTTTGTTGTTCCCCATTTGTCTATGTTTAATAACTGCAGTATTAATGCCCTTTTCAAACTGCCTGCAAGCTACCTCCCTTCCAATTCTTTTCCTGCCCTTTGTTCTCCATACCTTTTGTCTGCCTCTCCTGGTAGAGTCCACCCAGAAAGCGGGGGGAGACCTTGTTCTTGTATCTTTCAGCCCTGAAACCCTCTCCCAAGCCTTTGGAAGCAGAACACACAGACCCAGATGCT